AAAATTGCAAAATTCATGCCTGCTGCAGTTGCTGCTGCTTATTGCTGCAGGTACCTGACCTTTGGTTCAGCTCTTTTTTTTAATATACTGTATGGGTATTGATTTGGCCAGCAACAAGACACATGTTCTCTCCAGTCTCTTCATGCTGAGAGTTACAATTAAAAGTAATTGCCTCTTTTTCTCCAGCAAGCAATGTGTGGGCTGCTTCCCCTGACAGATACTCTGCTGAAGTCCAAACCTGGCCTCTGCACAGACAAGGAAATATTGCAATAGCAATAGTCTGGCACTTCCTTGTAGCCCCAAATTTGGCATCATCCCTGCAAATGACCACATTCTTCTGCCTCACATGTGACTACAAACTCTATGTCAGCAGCTCCCGGGAACAGTCCCTATTGCAAAGCTTGGTGTCTGCCTCCCAGCCTCAATGCCCAGGAGCTGCTATGTTGTGGTTGCGTGTCTTGTCTCTGCATGTTGCAGGAGGGCCATTAAAGCAGGTGGCCCTATTCCATCATGCTCATTACTCTCAGTTTCCACTGCACCTCTCAATGTAGCACTCCAAATGTTCAAAGAAAGAGTGACCTTGCCATCCTATTTACAGATGCAGGAAGCAAGGCTCAAAGATGGGAACTGAGCTTTTGAGGCTGTCTGTACATGGACATACCTTGTACATGGGCTGTGTGTACATGGACATCTGTCAAGCAACTGAGTCTGAATTCGGGGTTCAAACCTGTGTCTGATCTCTCCAGGCAACAGATGATGTTCTTGCACTAAATATCTGTGCTGCCATCCCCTCTTCACAATAAATTGCTGATTCGTCTTCCTTAAAGGCAAAGACAAAGGTAGACATAAAATATACACAAAAAGTTCTAAAACAGGAAGGCAAAACCACACATTCAGCTGGTTGTAGCTATGCTGTTTGCAAGTACTTTCACTCTCTTCCTGTGTCAGTTCTGAGCTTGGGGATAGCAATGGTTTTGCAAGCAAATTTTCATCAGCTGCTTGTGAGAGCTGGCTGGGCAATGGCTGCACACCCAGTGGTGTGACATGCATGGAAACAAAGCATTTCCAGGAGAAATTCTGGACCAACATTATCATCTTGGGTATTTTTCCTGTCCATGCTGCAGGAAGAAGAGGGCTGGCAGTGTCCTATAGTGTGTAGGCATTTCCAGTGCACTATAGGTCAAGGGCTAGTCACAACTTCTAAGCTGTTTGTGTGGGAGCAAGACAGAGCTCAAAGACCTTTTGGCATTTTAGAACTGTCTAAGACCTAGTCTGGTTCTCATTCCCCATCCAACTCCAATCAAACTAGTTCAGGAACACTGGCACAGGTTGGGAGAATGAACTCTGCAAGGGCTGTCTCACAGTCCCCACATCTACCCACACTTAGCAAGCCAGTGTTAGGGTACATGGTATTCCTGGAGAGCACATGGCAGACAGGATATCTCCCACAGTAGCTTCTGCACAACTTTCCCAGTGCCACAGTCATTTTTGTGGCCCAAGTGGGCAGAAGAAGAACAGGCACCGCTAGTCCTGGCAAGCTCAAATGCCCAGCCAGGGTGGCCATGAGCAGGCAGTAGTTGTTGGACAGGCTCTGACCACCTGCATAAAGTTAGCCTTTATGCAGGAGAGATGTCTCTCCTTTTTCATATCCCAGACCTGGCCCTGTAGCCTTCCTGGCCCATTGTCTCCCTCCCAAAAGCAATTTCAATTATTGATGCCATTTGCTGTGTTAGTTTAGCTTTCGCTCAATGTGAAAACTTGTGTTAGAAATGTGTATTGTAAGCATTGTTTCTATTGCAGCCAGGTTGAATTAACCCAACTGCATGAATAAATAATAGGACAGCTTTTAAAACATCTGCAAAAGTGTAAGCCTCCCTTGTGCATTTGGAGGCAGGGCAGAGCTGCCGAGGTTACAAACTCCAGACTCGTCTGTAAGTCCAGCCATAAGTCTATACTCTGCAAACTTCTCTTGGATTCCATAGGTATTGAAGCTGTGCTGGCTGACAAACAAGCCAACTACTGCCTGTTCCTGGATTCAGGCAACAGAGCTCAGGGGTGCACAGTGGCATTTGGTGCTGTGAAGATGATCCCTCTTCACTGCTCACCTAGTAAATGCAAAACTCCAGAGAAGTGCCATGCTGGTTGCAAAACCTCTTATGTACGTGGGCAGTGGGGTGAGTGAGGGTAAGCATAAGATGAGGCTTGAGCACTTTGGTATGATATTTTGCCTTCCCACACCTGCACGCCCAGTGCCTAAATGTACTGAAATTATTTTCTCCTTTCCATCTTCCCACTCTATCTTTCAACCTTTAACTGATTTTCTTGGGACCCAGAAAAGGTGTCTGGATAACTCACAAGTAATTATACACGCTAGCCAGAGGAACAAGGGAGAGTGCAGGGGATTTTCAACACTATCTGACTATAATTGGCACACATCCTTTGATAACACTAAACTGCTCAGGCCTGTCTGTTAGGGAGATGCAGTATGTCATTTTCTCTTGCACAAAAGGCTTCAATTTTTAAAAGTAGAATTTCTCTCACCTATTGTTAGCCACCACCAAGTTTAGTGTCTTCTATCAATTTATGAATTCCTTTAGTCAATGGAGAGATGCAGGTCCCTCAAGACTGTTGTTTTTCTCAATGTGCTAGTTTAGGCTGGCCATCTAGCTTTTAGGAATTTCATGTTACAGGGGATAAATCCCATCTGTAACCGATTTTGAGCATCCTACAGTAACAACCACTCACTGTGATCCAGCATCCCGCAGTAAGATCCAGCCTCTTCTCCTGGGAATCTGCTTCCACAACGTGCCCTGCAGCCAGCTGGGAGGAGTCACTGGGGACCTACCCAGGGTTTCAATGTCTACCAGTCCAGGGAATACAGCTGTAGAGAGGTACCATGGGCCATTAAAGCACTGATCATAGAATCATAGAATGCTTTGGGTTGGAAGGGACCTTTAGAGGTCATCTAGCCCAACCCCCCTGCCGTCAGCAGGGACAGCTTTAACCAGATCAGGTTGCTCAGAGCCCCGTCCAACCTCACCTTGAATGTTCCCAGGGATGGGGCCTCCACTACCTCTCTGGGCAACCTGTTCCAGTGCTTCACCACCCTCATTGTAAAATATTTCTTCCTTATATCCAGTCTAAATCTATCCTCCTTTAGATTAAAACCATTACTCCTTGTCCCATCACAACAGGCCTTGCTAAAAAGATTGTCCCCATCCTTCCTATAGCCCCCATTTAAGTACTTAAAGACCACAGTAAGGTCTCCCCACAGCCTTCTCTTCTCCAGATGGAACAACCCCAACTCTCTCAGCCTGTCCTCGTAGGAGAGGTGCTCCAGCCCTCGGATCATTTGTGTGGCCCTCCTCTGGACCCGCTCCAACAGTTCCATGTCCTTCTTGTGCTGAGGGCTCCAGAGCTGGACGCAGTTATTATCAAATCTACTTCGCAAGTACTGCAGAAAAATAATTTTGTT